AGATATCCTCCACTGTGACCAAGTAGGCTTCATCCCAGGTATGCAGGGGTGGTTCAATATATGGAAATCCATCAATGTATATGTAGGTGACTCCAAAAATTCTACCAGGGAACACCTACAACTGAAAAACACCTTCAGCAAAGTTGCTGGTTACAAAATTAACGCAAAAAAAAAAAAAAAAAAAACCTCAGTAGCCCTCCTCTATACAAAAGAAAAAGGGGCTGAGAGAAAAATTAGGGAAACAACACCCTTCACAATAGCCACAAAATAGTCAAGTATATTGGCATAACTCTAACCAAGAAAGTGAAAGACTTGTATTAAAAAAACTTCAAGTCTCTGAAGAAAGAAATTAAGAAGATATCAGAAGATGGAAATAATTCCCATGCTCATGGATTAAGATTAACATAGTAAAAATGTAAAAACATAGTAAAAATAGCCATCTTACCAAAAGAAATCTACAGATTCAATGCAATTCCCATGAAATTACCAACACAATTCTTTAAGGACTTTAAAAGAAAAGTTCTCAATTTCATATGGAATAATAAGAAACCTGTAATATCTAACACAGTCCTATACAATAAAAGATCTGGAAGTATATCCATCCCTTAACTCATGCTATACTATAGAGCAATAGTAATAAGAACTGCATAGTTCTGACATGGAAACAGACCATTGGATAAATGGTATCAAATCACAGAACCTGAAATAAATCTTTGAACACATGATTTTTTTAATTTTTTATTTAACTTTTATTAATTACACTTTATTTACTTTGTATCCCCCCATAAGTCCCTCCCTCCTCCCCTCCCGATCCCACCCTCCCTCCCCTTACTGCATGCATGCCCCTCCCCAAGTCCACTGATAAGGGAGGTCCTCCTCTCCTTCTTTCTGATCTTAGTCTACCAGTTCTCATCAGAAGTGGCTGCATTGTCATCTTCTGTGGCCTGGTAAGGCTGCTCCCCCCTCAGGGGGAGGTGATCAAAGAGCAGGCCAATCAGAGGGACTGCCTCTGACATAATCTGATTGAACACATGATTTTTGACAAAGAAACAAAACCATACAATGGAAAAAAGATAGCATCTACAACAAATGGTGCTGGTCTAACTTAATGTCTACATGTAGAAAAATGAAAATAGACCCGTATCAATCACCTTGCACAAAATTGAAGTCCAAGTGAATCAAAGATCTCAACATAAAACCAGTCAAACTAAATTTATTGAAAGAAAAATTCAGGAAGTACCTGGAACTAATTGGCAAAAGACAAAATTTCCTGAACTGAACATTAACAGCATAGACTCTAAGATCTACATTTAATAAATGGGACCTCATGAAATGGAAAAAACTTCTGTAAAGCAAAGGACACTGTCAACAGAACAAAACGACACCTACAGACAATGTAAAGGTCTTCACCAACCCTACATCAGATAGAGGGCTGATATGCAGAATATATAAAGAACTCAAGAAATTAGACACCAACAAATCAAATAATCCAATTTTTAAAAATGGGGTACATAGCTAAATAGACAGTTCTCAACAGAGGAATATTAAATGGCAGATAAACACTTAAAAAATGCTCAACATCCCTAGTACCCAGAGAAATGAAAATCAAAACAACTCTGAGTTTCCATCTTGCATTGATCAGAATGGGTAAGACCAAAAACTCAGGTGACAACACATTATGGAGATGATGTGGAGAAAAGGGAAACCTCCTCCATTGCTGGTGGGAGTACAAACTTGTAAAACAACTTTGGAAATCAAACTGGTGCTTTCTTAAAAATTTGTGAATAGCATTACCTCCAGATCCAAGTATACCTCTCCTGGGTATATACCCAAATGCTGCCCCACCATTCAACAAGGACATTTGCTCAACCATATTCACAGCAGCTATATTTGTAATAGCCAGAATCTGGAAACAACCTAGATGTCTCTCAGTGGAGGAATGGATGCAGAAATTTTGCCACATTTAGACAATGGAATACTACGTGGATATTAAAAAAAAGAAAATCACTTGAGGTTTTTTTTTTTTTTTATTTTAGCTATTCTGATAGGTGTAAGGTGAAATCTCAGGGTCTTTTTGATTTGCATCTCTCTGATTGGCTAAGGATATTGTCCATCTCTAAGTTTTTCTCTGCCATTCTATATTCCTCTACAGAGAAATTTCTGTTTAGCTCCGTGCCCTATTTTTAATTGGATTGCTTGATTTATTTCTTTTTAACTTCTTTAGTTCTTTATACATTCTGGATATCAGGTCTCTGTCAGATATAGGGTTGGTGAAGATCCTTTCTCAATCTGTAGGCTGTCGTTTGTTCTGATGACAGTGTCTTTTGCTTTACAGAAGCTTTTCAGTTTATTGATTGTTGCTCTTAGGTTGTGGAGAAAGGGGAATCCTACTCCACTGTTGGTGGGAATGTAAACTGGTACAACCACTCTGGAAATCTATCTGGCACTTTCTCAGACAATTAGGAATAATGCTTCCTCAAGATCCAGCTATACCACTCTTAGGCATATATCCAAAAGATGCTCAACTACACAACAGGGACATTTGCTCAACCATGTTTGTAGCAGCTTTATTTGTAATAGCCAGAACCTGGAAACAACCCAGATGTCCATCAATGGAGGAATGGATGCGGAAATTATGGTACTTTTACACCATGGAATACTACTCAGCAATTAAAAACAAGGAAATCATAAAAAATTTCAGGCAAATGGTGGGATCTGGCAAAGATCATCCTGAGTGAGGTATCCCAGAAGGAGAAAGACACACATGGTATATACTCACTTACATAGACCTATAAGATAGGATAAACATACTGAAATATACACACCTAAAGAAGACAAACAAGAAAGAGGACCCAGGGTACGATGATCAATCCTCACTTAGAAAGACAAATGGGATGGACATTGGATGTAGGAGAAAACAATAACAGGATAGGAGCCTACCACAGAGGGCCTCTGAAAGACTCTACCTAGCAGTGTACCAAAGCAGATACTGAGACTCATAACCAAACCTTCGGCAGGGTTCAGGGAATCATATGAAAGAAGGGGGAGTTAGTATGACCTGGAGAGGACAGGAGCTCCACAAGGACCAAATATATCTGGGCACAGGGATCTTTTATGAGACTGTTTCTCCAACCAAAGACCATGTATGGATATAACCTAGAACCTCCGCTCAGTTGTATCCGATGGTATCTCAGTATCCAAGTGAGTTGCCTAGTAAGGGGAACAGGGACTGTGTCTGACATGAACTCAGTGGCTGGCTCTTTGACCTCACCCCTCCCCGAAGGAGGAGCAGTCCTGCTAGGCCACAGAGGAGGACTTTGCAGCCAGTCCTGAAGTTACCTGATAAACCAGGGTCAGATGAAAGGGGATGAGGACCTCCCCTATTAGTGGAGTTGGAAAAGGGCAAGGAGGAGATGAGGGAGGGAGGGTAGGATTGGGAGGGAATGAGGGAGGGGGATACAGTTAAGATATAAAGTTAATAAACTGTAACTAATATTGAAAAAAAAATTAAAAATTAAAAAAAAATCGTGAAAATTTCAGGCAAATGGATGGAACTGGAAAAGATGATCCTGTGTGAGGAAACCCAGAAACAGAAAAACACACATTGTACATACTCTGTACTTCAATTTTAATTGGGATATTTTGTTTGTAAATGTCTAATTGCTTGAGTTCTTTAAATATTTTAATATTAGTCCTTTGTCAAATGTAAGGTTGGTGAAGATCTTTTTCCGTGTGTTTTGGCTGAATTTTTGTTTTATTGACAGCATCCTTTTCCTTACAGAATGAGAAAGGTAACCCAGAAACAGAAAGACAGGCATAGTATACAAACTCTTATAAGTGGGTATTAGTTGCATTATATAGGATAACCATACTAAAATCTACAGACTAAGGAGGTACCTTGGGAGGATGCTCAAATCTCACTCAGAATGGCAAACAGGATAGACAGCACAAGCAGTAGAAGAGAGGAAACAGGATAGGAGCCTACTATAGAGGGTCCACTGAAAGGTCCCACCCAACAGGGGATAGAAGCAGATGCTGAGACTCACAGACAACTTTTGGAAACAGCACAGGGAGTCTTAAGGAAGAAGATTGGGGGAGGGAATAGAAAGACATGGACGGACAGAAGCCCCATAATGAGACCAACAAAGCTAAATAATCTGTGTCCAGGGGCTCCTGCAGAAACTGATGCATGAACTATACACACACATGAACTATACTACAGAGAGGATGTAGACCACGTGCTCAGAAGCAGCTGATTGGCACCTCAGTCTATATTTGAGTCACCAAGTAAGGGGAACAGGGGCTGCCTCTGTCATGAACTCGTTTGCCTGCTCTTTGACCACTTGCCCCTGGCAATGCAGTCTTGCATGGCCTCAGAGGAAGAGGATCCAGGCAGTCCTGATGAGACTTGATAATCTATGGGCAGATGACAGAGGAAGAGATCTCCCCCTTTCAGTGGACTAGGGGAAGGGAATGGGGGAAAGGAAGCAGGAACTGGGAGGAGTTGAGGTAGGGGGGCTTCAATCAGTATATACAGTGACTAAATTGTGAAAAAAATTGAAAGAACTAAACATTTTATTTCAGCTTTTAATTGATTTCTCTCAAATAACTACAGAAATGCTGCTCTATATCTAACATTATCAGATTGTACCTTCAATCTTACCTTGAGGTATTATTCTAATTCAGATATATTTTTTTTTTCAAAATTTGTTCTTCTCCACACAACCAAGAATAAGTACAGGACATGTATGCATTATTCCATACAAAATGTGTATGGATTAATATTGTTCCCTTCTAGAAAATCCAATTGGTGATTATGTTAATCATATACTTGATAGTTAAATTTAGATTATATAAATGGCTTCATGTTTCAGTGCTGTTTACTATTTGGTACAAGTAAATACAGTTCAGGGTGTAGGTACTAAACATAATGTGTACCTAATATATATTTGTCTTTTATTTCATTAAAATATTTTGTCTTTTGTTTTTTTATTAAACAGAAACCAAATTGTCCTCGTTCTGAAATTTTTAAGTCACTTCCTCCATCCTTCTGAAGCTACACTATTGTTAATTTCAAAACATAAGGGTGGAATAGGAGGCAGTACAATGGCTTTTGCTCTAAAGGGAGAAGTACTAAATTTTAAAGCAATTGTAAGTAAGCTGTATTTATTTTGTATACTTTCCATCCTGTTCCCCAGACCCCGCACTGTCACATCATGATTATTCTTCCCTGTTTTGTTTCTGTTCTGCTCTTAGTCCTTAGGTCATAATTTTGCCGTCAAACATTGTTTTCTGGTGAGGGCACTGAAATGTGATAGTTGATTCAACTATTTTTTCTGCTATAGGCACATCACCTTTTTATATATATTTTAATATTTATTTATTTATTTATTTATTGTGTGTGCATGAACATACAAATGTTAATGCATGCACATCTATGTTGGCACACTGGTGCCACAGCGTGATGGAGGTTAAAGAAAATTTGCAGGAGGCAACTCTCTCTGATGTGGACCTTGCAGATTGAAAACAGGTTAAAAGGCTTGGCAACAGGTGCCTTTACATGCTCAATCATCTGTCTACTTGGGCATTTATCTGTTTATCTGCAGTTTTCTATAGAGACAATCTATTGTACAGCTCATGATAATGCTACATTTATTGAAGAATGATGATGTTCTTGACTGAATTCTACATGTTCATATCTCTAGCAATGGGGCAGAAATACATTGGTAGATTTCTATAAACATCTTGTTTAAATATTTGATGCCTTTTGGTATGGATCTGGGAGGGAAAAAACTCAGTTCTGTTTAAGGGACAGGCCACTGAGAGTTTGACCATACTCCAGTGAATTTGTTGCAAGGGTGGAGGATGGCAATGGATGTACTAGGTAATGAGTGTGATCAGTGTGCATGATGTGACATTCCCAAAGAATTAATAAAATACTATGTTGAAAATATATACCATGTATATATGGTAAAGTCAAGCAAACTTTTTGCCAGTATTCTGTGTATATTATAAAATGAAGACAATACAAGGCCAGAGTATAAAGTGCAAAGAATGACTCTAAAAGTATTAAGTGGTAGCTATATATAAGAAGAGAACACCAAAGGTGTTCACATGGATAGACTGACTTAATAGACAGTATACCCCAAACAAGAGGTTGTTATTTCTTTCTATGATATGTTGTTGTCTTCTAGTTTCCTCTTTAGTAATGAACACTTGACATTTCCCAATTCTGGCACATACATTCTCTGAAACAGTGTCACATTCATTCTATGAAATAATATCATATATAATCCTCTGAAACAGTGTATTACTTTATCACATGTAGTGCAATGACATGGCTGATTTTATCACTTCATTAACCTCAATACAGGGGAGAAGATCTAGAAACAATGCCTGAATGCTATGCAGGTCTGAATACATCTCCCTCTTCCCAGGTCAATGGGAAGTAGATGACGTAATAATGGAGAAAATATTTAAGACAATAACACCTTACTATACCTGTAAATTTCTAAAATTTTTTTACAGAAATTTTTATTTTATATCTGTGCTTTCATTTATCATGTCATTATAACCACCTCAATATGAATATGCACATTTTGCAAATATATACCTGCCTTTATCTTAGGTGATAGATAAAAATACATAATATATATTTTACAATTCACAGATAGAGATCCTATCTGATTACTTATGAAATCATTACTTGTTCACTCATGAAATTAGTTGAAGGAAATCAACAAAGATATTCAAAAACATATTTTTTAATTATTAACACATTATTGTGACTTAAGTAAATACATTTTATCTTATCTGAATTTTAATCATCAATTATTTGTGAGGGAATGAATTTTATTATTTCTTACAATAATTAAGTGGACACTAAGTTTTTGATATTGAGTTCATAATTAAGTTGAAATAAAAATAGATATTCTGGGTTTTTTTGTATTTGCTTTTATTTTTTTGATTTTTTGATTTATTATTTTTTAATTTTTTATATTCATTACAATTTATTCACTTTATATCCCAGCTGTAGCCTCCTCCCTCATTCCCTCCCAATTCCCACCCACCCTCCCTTATCTCCTACCTACCCCTCTCTAAGTCCAGGTGGTTTCCTTAGTAAGGGGAACAGGGACTGTCTCTGACATGAACTCAGTGGCGGCCTCTTTGACTACCCCCCACCCCAAGGGAGAAGTAACCTTGATAAGACACAAAGGAAGACAATGCAGCCAGCTATGATGAGATCTGGATTTTGACATTATTATATTGTGACTTTTTTAACTTTAGGATATTTTAAAATATAAAGTTCCTTGTTATCAAAGGAAAGAAGTTACTGTGAAGGTGAAAAACCCCTTTCCAACTGGTGGAGAGTTTCGGTAAGTTATTGTTTTAATGTAAATTTATTGATGTTCACTATATTCAATAAAAATGAATAAATGTCTTTTCCTCTTCAGTATGATTTGTCTAAGGATAAATTGCATGTACTTGAGGTTTCTATGGACTTAAAAGTATCAGCAAACGAAATAGAAAATCTTTATAATTCAAAGTCATGTAATATATATATATATATATATATATATATATATGTATTGTGACAGAAAGTATCAATATAATAATACAAAATGCTTTATATTTAACATTTGATAATTACATATTATTTGGCAATTTGTTACATTTTGAATGACTGTCTAAGCTTTTAAAGATTTATTATCAGTAATATCACTCATAATTGATTAAGCAAAAGTAATTTAGTTGAAATAGTTATTAAGGAATTGATGATTTCTGTATCTACACAAAGTGAAATTTACTGGTGTTCTCTTCAGCAAATTTTTCATATCTTTTTGAGTCTCTAGCTCCAGAATTTCTTCCTGGTTATTTTTAATAATCTTTCTTGATGATGCTACATTGTATTTGATGTTACATTGACTTAACACTTTCTTTTATTTCTTTAATATGTTTCTATAGTTCTTTGAAGGTATGAGTAATGACTAACATGAATTTGTTCCCTGTTAAATCTGATAATGATTCAGTCACCCATTTCCATTTTCCTTTCTTTATGTGTTTCATAGTTTTTCATTTACTGACTTTAAATAGTTTTCCTTCTTTTTTAAGAGTGGCAGAAGTTATATAATCAAAATATTCAAAATACACTGTTTGACATTACAGCCAGTCTTGATGAGACCTGATAGGCTAGTGTCAAATGGAAAGGGAGGAGGAACTCACCTATCAATGGACCTGGAGAGGACCATGACAGGAGAAGAAGGAGGGAGGGTGTGATTCAGAGGGAATGAGTGAGGGGGCTACAGTTGGGATACAAGGCAAACAAAATGTAATTAATGTAAAAAATAAAAATTTAATTAAAAAAGAGTAACAGAAGTTATACAATCAAAATAGTCAAAATACAGTGTTTGAAAATATTAGAACACAGATAGAAACAGTCAATGGGCAGCTCAAGCTTTAAATTATTTTTCTTTTTTCCTTTTTATTTTTTATTTATTATAATTTATTCACTTTGTATCCCAGCTGTATCCCCATCCTTTGTCCCATACAATTCCCACCCTCTCTCCCTCTTCTCCTCCCATAACCCTCCCCAAGTCCACTGATAGGGGAGGTCCTCCTCCTCTTCCATCTGACCTTAACCTATCAGATCTCATCAGGACTGTCTGCATTGTCTTCCTCTGTGGCCTGGTAAGGCTGCTCCCCACTCAGGAGGAGGTGATCAAAAAGCCAGCCACTGAGTTCATGGCAGACACAGCTCCTGTTCCCCTTACTAGGGTACCCACGTGGCGACTGTGCAGCCATGGGCTACATATATGCAGGGGATGAAAAACCACATGATCATTTCCTTAGATGCTAAAAGAGCATTTGACAAAATCCAACACCCATTCCTGCTTAACGTCTTGCAGAGATCAAGAATACACATACCTAAACATAGTAAAGAAAATGTACCGCAAGCTTATAGCCAACATCAAACTAAATGGAGAGAAACTTAAATCAATCCCACTGAAATCAGGGACAAGAGAAGGCTGCCCACTTTCTCCTTATCTCTTCAACATAGTACTTGAAGTCCTACCTAGAGCAATAAGACAAGTAAAAGCAAGCAAGGGGATACAAATCAGAAAGGAAGATGTACTTTTTTCAAACATTGTATTTTCATTACTTTGTTTGTATACCGTCCACTCTTCTAACTACTCTTAAATCCCCCCTCTTGTGTTCTAACCTCCAAAAGAAGAGCAAAGATGCAGATCAAAGTAAACAAAAAATACCAAATTAAAACAAACCAACAAAAAACTTAAACATATCCAATGTCTCTCAACTGGAGATAACTGAATTTGAGTAACAATTAGCATCTTCATTAGATATAGGGCCTTATGTCCAATCGCCCTTCATCTCTGTGCCAGGATTTTATCTCGCTTGGACAAGTGCAGACATTGCTGTCACAGTCTCTATGAGTTTATGTGTGCATCCTTCCTCTTTTCTCTGGAAGGCACTGTTTCTTTGGAATGGTCCACCATCTCTGCCTCTTGCAATTTTTATGCCTCCTCTTCCACATATGTCCCTGAGACTTGATAAAGACATCCTGTCTAGGGCTGAGTGCTCTAGAGTCTCCTACCCTGAACATTGTCAAGTTGTGGGCCTCTGTGGTAAATCTCATCTACTGCAACCAGAAGCTTCTCTGGTAAAGGCCGAGCAGTGTCCTAATGTATGAGTATAGTAATATGTCATTAGGAGTTGTTTCATTTATATGTTCATTTTATTGCCACTATTGTGGTAGAATAATAGTAGTAGGTTTTTCCCTAGGTCTCAAATCCTAATTTAGTCTCAGGTTCTTGGCTGCTTTAGAAGTACCTTCTATGGGTTCTATCTTATGCAGTGGGTCTTAAATCTAACCAAATAATGGTTGTTTACTCTGATAATATTTGTGTGACTATTGATTGTACCAGTGTCTTTCAGGTAGTCACTCTTGTAGATTGCAGAGCTTGTAGCTGGTTAATACTGGTGTTTATTTTTCTCGTTGGGTAGCATGGATAGTACCTTCTAGCAACATGAACACTAGTCAATAGGGGTGAAGTTCTTAGTTGGGCACAAGCTTAACTTCATTGATGTCATAGTGATATCTTTAGCAATAGAGCCTTGCTGTCAGGTTGAGGAGAGTAACTAATAACACTGGCAAAAGGTTTTAATGTTTGGCAGAAAGATCTTTGTCACTGTTAGCCAATGTAAATGGGTTAGTAATGTACATGTTCAACAGAATGTATATGTTTCACAGTTTCTATGAAAGATTCTGGACATATTTGAATAAGTATTATACACATTCTAAGTACTCGTTCTATCTCCCCAAGGCCTATTTATTTATTTTATGTTTATTAACATTTTATTTATTATTCATTATAATTTATTCACTTTGTATCCTGATTATCCCCATCCCTCATCTCCTCCCAGTCTCACTCTCCCTCCCTCTTCTCCCCTTAAGTCACTTCCCTAGTCCACTTATAGGGGAGGTTCTCTTCCCCTACTATCTGAGGCTAGCCTATCAGGTCTTATCAGGACTGGCTGCATCATCTTCTTCTGTGGCCTGATAAGGCAGCACCCCCCCCAAAAGAATGTGATCAAAGAGCTGCTCACTGAGTCCATGTCAGAGATATCCCTGGTACCCATTTCTAGGGAACCCACTAATGAGACTGACCTGCGTTTGGGCTACATCTGAGCAGGGGTCTAGGTCCTCTCCATGCATGATCATTGGTTGGAACATCAGTCTCTGCAGGACCCCCTGGGCCCATATTTTTGGATCTCTTCTTCTCCTTGTTGAGCTGTTCCCTCCAGGTCTTTCTGTATTCCCCTTCTTCCATAAGATTCCCTGCACTTTGTCCAAAGTTTAGCTATGAGTCTCAGCATCTGCTTCAATATCCTTCTGGGTAGAGAGGCCCTCTGTGGTAGGCTCTTGTCCCATTTGCTCTTATATTTTAATTTTTAACTAAAATATACCATTGGCCATTTTTCTTGCATGCATGGCTGTGCCTGTGGCCTGCAAAAGTGAAAAAAATAAATCAGATCCCTGGAAAGTCTAGTTACAGAAGGCTTTAAGCTATCATGTGGATGCTGGGAATTTAATCTCTGAAAGAACAGCTAGTGCTCCTAACTACTAATCCATTTCTTTATCCCTCCCTAAACACCCACAATTTAAATTCTCTTACACCCAAGTTAACCAAATGCCTCAGTGATTGAAGGTAGTTGTTGATAATCCTGACAACCTGAGTTTGATGCCTGTGTTCCACATGATAGAAGGAGAAGATCAACTCCCTCACTACATCCTTTAACCTCTACAGGTGCACATACACAAACACAAAACTCACACAAACACACACACACACACACACACCACCACCACCACCACCACTACCACCACCACCACCACCACCACACCTCACACAGAGAGAGACTATGTCTTTCTTTAAATTAAGTAACTTTGTGAATATATGTTTTAGAGGAAAAGTATTAAAATTTCTACTTCCAGCCAGGCATGGTAGCATATGCATTTAATTAATCTCAACACTTGGGAGGCAGAGGCAGGCAGATTTCTGACTTGGAGGCCAGCCTGGTCTGCAGACCGTGTTGTAGGACAGCAAGGGCTACACAGAAAAACTGTCTCTAACAACAGCAAAAACAAATTTTCACTCCTAAAACACTCCACCCCTGGCAAGGGATTGTAAACCACTTTTCACACTAATTTCAAACAAGTTTATATGCTTTTAAATAACAATTTTCTATAGAAAGTGTTTGAATTTTTTCTTACTCAGGGAGGGCGCAATTCCTCTCCTTGGGTTCATGCACTATATCAGCAGGCCTACAATTTAACTTGTGTTAAGTTATTCAATCAGTGTCCTCCATGTGCCTTTTATCATAGTCTAAATTTACCTACAATTAGTAAAATTGAAATTATGTCATTTTAAATATATCTGGGCTATCTTTTCTTAAAGTCTACTTCTCTCCAGATGTTAATATCTTATATCTAGCTCACAAGCTACTCATATAGTGTACTTTTTCCCCCCTGAGGAAATTGCACATTTTATTTGCAGAGCTTTTAGTGGGAGAGGGCAATAATAACCTCAGAGTATATGTACTTTTAATTTTGTTTTCTTTTATTTTGCTTTAATTTAATAAAGTTGTATATTTCTAAATGTACAGTCATATGCATTCATCTTCATTACAGCTGAGTAATTTCCACTCTCTGTATTTTGTTTTCCTAAATTAGGGAGTGTGGTGGTTTAAATAGGGATGGTCCCCATGGACTCATAGGGAGTGACTTTACTGGAGGTGTGGTCTTGTTGGAGGAAAAGCCTACTGTTGGTGGGCTTTGAGGTCTCCTAGTTTTGCT